GTCTCTATGTCATTTATTTCCACTCTTATCTTTATTATTTCCTTCCTTCTGATCACACTGGGCTTTTCTACTTTCTCTCTTTCTAATTCTTTAAGTTGCAGAATTAGATGGTTTATTACCAGTTTTTCTTGTGTTTTGAGGTAGAACTGTAATGCTATGATCTTCCCTCTCAGGACTGCTTTCACTGTGTTCCAAAGATTTTGGATTGTTGTGTTTTCATTGCCTTTTGTTTCCAGGATGTGTATTTTTCTTATTCTTTGATCTATTTGATAAACCACTCACTATTTAATAGTGTGCTATTCAGCCTCCAAGTATTTGATTTTTTGTGATTGTCTTTATCATAATTGTTTTCTAATTTTTACCATTGAGGTCTGAGAAGATGCTTGATATGATTTCAATCCTCTTGAATTTGGAGAGACTTTGCCTATGCCCTAATATGTGGTCAATCTTTGAAAATGTCTCATGTGCACTTGAGAAGAATGTATATTGTATAGTTTGGGGTGAAATGTTCTAAGGATGTCAATTAAGTCCACCTGATCTAATGAGTCATTTGAGATTGATGTTTCTTTGCTAATTTTTTTGTCTAGAAGATTTATTCAGTGATGTTAATAATGTATTAAAGTCTTCTACTATGATTGTGTTGCTGTCAATCTCTCCCCTGATATCTTCCAGAAGTTGTTTTATGTATTTGGGTGCTCCTGCATTGGTGCATAAATGTTTACTAGAGTTAAATCCTCTTGTTGTATCGATCCCTTTATAATTATGACGTGTCCTTTATTGTTTCTTGTTATGGTCTTCACTTTGAGGTCTATTTTGTCAGATATAAGTATTACTATCCTAGTTTTGTTTTGTTTTGTTTTGTTTTCATTTCTATTTGCCTGATATTTTTTCCATCCCTTCATTTTCAGTCTCTGTGAGTCCATTTACTTAGGTGGGTCATACATGTAGACAGCATATAGATGGGTCATATTTTTTTTTTATCCATTCACTCATTCAATGTATTTTATTGGAACACTTAATACATTTATATTTAATATCATTATTGATAGGTACTTGTTTGTAGCCATTTCTGCACTTTATTCCCGTATTTCTTCCTCCCTTTCTGTTTCTTCTTTTTACATCACTCCCTTTTTCTTGCATTGCTGCCTATGTAGTGATAAAAGTCCCTTAGACTTTTCTTAGACTTTTTTTGTCAGCAAAGCTACTGATTTCCCCTTCAATTTTGATTGATAGTCTTGCTTGATAGAGTATTCTTGGATTCAGTCCTTTGTTTTGCATCATTTTGCATACTTCCTTCCATTCCCTTCTAGCTTGATGTGTTTCTGTTGAGAAATCATTTGACAATCTGATGAGGGCTCTTTTGTAGGTAACTATCTCTCTCTTTCAGCCTTTAAGATTCTCTCTTTGTCATTAACATTTGCCATTGTAATTATGACATGTCTTCTTGTGGTTCTTTTGGGATTCATATTGCTTGGGACTCTGTACTTGTGTGACATTTTTCTGCCCCAATCAGGGAAGTTTTCTCTCTTTATTTCTTCAAATAGATTTTGTTATCCCTGCTGCTCCGTTGTCCTTCTGGCAGTCCTATTATATGTATGTTACTTCATTTCTTGTTATCCCAAAACTCTCTTAGGTTCTCCTCCTGGTATTTAATTTTTCTCCAGTTGCTATTCAGATTGAGCTTGTTACTCTACCTTATCTTTCCTAACTCACTAATTCGGTCCTCTGCTTCTTCTAGTCTACTGTTGAAACCTTCCATGGTGTTTTTTATTCTAGCTATATCTTTTGATTTCTTTCTGATTTTTGCATAGGTTGTTGATTTTCTCATCTATCCTGTGTGTGAACTGTAGGAAGATTACTCTGAATTCTTTTTCTGTCACATTGCATGCTTCATTTCACAATTTGCATTTCTTGCAGATCCCTCATTTTCTTTCCTTTTTGGATTGTTGTTTCTCCCCATTCTTACTATCACCAGAAGGTTCTAAAGAAAAGTTGTGTGGGCCTGGTCCATGTGCAGTGGGAACTTTGCACCCACCCAACTGTCATTGAAGAGCTCAGATACCAAGACTTATGGCTGGTGTAGGTTGGTGGGAGCCACACTCGCCCAGGATTAGAGTCACCAGCGATCAGTGTGGCCTGGTGTATACACCTAGAATCAGGGACCCTGCCTGCGCTGCACTGAAACAGACCATGCTGGCATGTGCCCTGAAAATCAAAGTCTCCTAGTGCATTCCAGAAGTCAGAGTTCCCCTATGCTCACAACAAGAATTGAGTATCAGAGTCTCTGTTTCTTGGTACGGCCTCACACAGAGACCAGGGTCCCTGTGTGTGCATGTACCAATAATTGGAGTCACTGGTCTTAGTGTGATTTTACTGGGAATAAGGGATCCTAGCTGCATGGGAAGAGAAATAGAGTCAAGTCACTGGTGTTCAGTGCTGCCTTTTGCCCAAAGAATCAGGATCCTGGTCATTTTGGGTGACTAGTTTCATAGTAGCACTGTGTCGGAAGGAGGTACACTCTTGTGCTGTGGAAAACAAACTCCCATGTGTGCTTGCCCAGAATCAAAGTCAGGTGGCACTGCCACCCTGTGTGGGTATGAAGTTTGATTGCCTATTGTGTTGTGGGGAACAGATTCCCAGTGTCAGAGTGCTCTCAGGCTCAAATTCCTGTAGCTTCTCTTAGGCCTGTAAGAGGGGAGGGTCTAGCAGTTCCTATGGCACATGCCATGAGCCTGTGGGTGGGGGATGGGCTCTGTGACTCACGAAAATCTGCAGCCAGGATGTCTATTCTTGGTGTCTGTAGGTCTGAAGCAGTGGTCCCACTTCTCTGTCCCCAGTGGCTGCAGGCTTCCTGTTTATGTCTGAGACCAGACTTGGTGGTGCTGAGTCCAGGATCCTAGTCTGAAGCAGCTCTGTTTTTCAAGATGGTGTGGTCTCTGTGCCCACATTGGCCACCCCTAGAGTGTCTGTGGTGGCAATGGGGCTCTACTGTGTAAGACAGCCAGGTTTGCCAGACCCTTGGAAGATCTGTAGAACTTAACTATCTATAGCTCATACACACACACACCACACATGTCAACACACTCCTCTATCTCTCCCTCACTCTCTCACACTCTCTCCCTCCCTATCTTCCTGCTGGTCACCATCTTCAGAATCAAAATCATAAATTTGTACTTTAAACAGCATTTAAAACAACAGTAATTCAAATGAGTAAAATATAAATTCTCTGTTTTTGAAATATATAGAAGACAGCAAGGGCTAACATTTTTTTTTACCATATTAATCATTTCTTTACATAGAATTTGAATTATGATTCACCAGCCTGCATGAGTCTTCGAGCAATGCCTAGCACCCAAGCTAAAACAAATTGTGTTTTTAAAATATATTTTTATTGATTTTTTACAGAGAGGAAGGGAGAAAGATAGAGAGCTAGAAATGTCGATGAGAGAGAAACACCGACCAGCTGCCTCTTGCACACCCCCTACCGAGGATGTGCCCGCAACGAACATACATGCCCTTGACTAGAATCGAACCTGGGACCTTTCAGTCCACAGACAGACGCTCTATCTACTGAGCCAAAATGGTTTCGGCAACAAATTGTGTTTTTAAATGCCCACAGGGGAATACTATAAAGTTGGCTTAACTTCCAGAAGTCAAAGACCCTGAACTAGTGTGTGGGATTATGTAGAAAAAGAATTTAAGCAATGCTAATATTCATGGTCTTGCAACCATATGATAGGGTTCTATTCATAGAAATACTTTGGCCAATAGCTCTCCCATTAGCTATCTGTGAAGCCTTGGGCCAGTGATAAAGTCTTTTTATTTGTCTCTGTATCTGTAACATGGGAATATTTATGCAATTTTCATAAAATTGTTGTTGTTATTGAATGAGAGCATGTCTTCTCTCTCCCAGTTGCTTCTGGGGGTGGGATTCTTATGATATACTGAGAAAAGGAATTTTCTGAGACACACATTGGAGGATGCAATATGGAAGAAAGCTTTATTTCCATGCAATTACACTCCTGGTTTTCCAAAGTCCCAATTTCCCTTAGTCCAGTCAAAGAAGGAGTATAGCTGAGATTTCAGTAGAACTAAAATAACAGCCAGTGACCAGAGTTTCCTTTCCATTTTGGACCTAGGTCCAGTTCAGCATCAGGCTAACTATAGTCCATTAGCCCATTGCAAATAGGAACCACATGTCCATGGGCCATACAGGTAAATGCAAGAGAGCCAAGAGAGCACATCCCAAGCAACAAAAGAGAAAATTCCTTTAAGGGGTTATACCAAATCTTCATGCCATTGTAGTGGCCACTCCCATTCTGGCCAACCAGCTCTGTCCCCAGGTGGATTGATAGAAAAGTACCTTCTTTATGTCACCCCAACTTTACTGGCATGTATCTATTTTCCATATGTGATTCCTTCCCACTGTGTTTTGCAGATAACATGCCTATAATGTTTAGTCTTCCCTTTGATTTTTTCCTGTTACTAATAACTAGTTAGTTACAATAGTATCACTATGAAAGCTAATACAATAGATTCTAAAGCAAACACATAGGTGGTCAATAAAGGAAATATCAAATTCCTTTTTTCTTTCTCCAATCTCATCTCAAAATTAGAAGGTAAAACAAGAAGCAAGGGAAAATTATCATAATATGAGCTGGGCAAATGAAACTGGTATTAAGAAACATGGACATTCAGCTGTGGATGTCCCACCCCAACACATTGATTTCTGCACTTAGATATTATGATTACTGGGCATCATAAAGAACTTTATGATGAACTGAAGATCAGTTCTTGCCCAAGGTAGAGTTGGCTTTCACAATCTGCTTTTATAAAAATATAAATATATTTAAGGGATATATAATGGCAGGGGGCTGCTTAGTATGATGTGGAAGTGTTTCATCTCAGACTTTTGACAGATAACAATCTTAATAATGAATCTTCCTTTCCAGGAATTATTTATTTAGAACACATCTGTGTCACGTGTGACTAAAAGGCACTAACTTAGTCAAATAGCAATTTAGCAGGTTGCATGCCTCTGAGAATTTAAAGATTTTCCTTTTTCCTTTGTTTACTATTTTCTTTGACTTTAGAGTAGCAAGTCCTTCCCTGTTTCTATCTCCATCTCATAATTCTTATTGTCACACACTGTAGAGCATCCTAATCCATCCTAATCCTATATCATAGCCCTTCTCTATGATATAGAGTTCTTTTATATGTTGTTAACTAAAGGTATTGAAAAAAAGAGTAAGACAACTGAAGAATTTCTACTTTATGGGTAGAAAAGTAATTTTTATTCTACCCTTCTAAATTCTTCTGGTTGGTCTAATAATTAAATTGTCATAAAACAGATTAACAGAAGACAATAACCAAATTTATCTTGCATGTACATACAGGGATACCATAGGACTATAGGACTCCAGGACAAATTGGACACTTGAGACATATATCATCTTGAACTAAGGAGAAAGTCCAGTAGTAGTTTGGACTTCAAAGGGAAGGTAGAGAATTCACAGGTAGATGAGAAAAAGCAAATATTTTGTGAACAAATTCTTGCCAGGCCATCCAGAAACAATGGAGCACAGAAGGGAGTCTAACAAATAGACCTTGCTAGGTTCCTTCAGGTCTGCCAACTTTCGTTCATATTATACTAAGGTGATAGCTCCCTTCATAGAACAGTTTTTTCCCCCCATCTGAATTCCTTTAGGCACATAGAGGGGAATGTGTAAAAGGTCATATTGAGTCTTTTGTTTTCCTGAAAAATAATAAGCTTAAACTAATCAATATTCCAAAAAAGGCAGATTTTGGGGTGGCAAAACTCTGGTTCCCCCTCACAAGTAATACTGAAATTTCCACCAGGCTTCTTCGGCAAAGATCTTTTGTCAGGATTGAGTTACCTTAGAAAGAATTCACAAGAGAGTTTCCTAATACAATATTTCATATGCATATTCTTTACAGTAAGATTGCAAAAGCAAATCACCTGGCCGATAGCTGTAAAATTTCTTGTTTATTTTTATTTATTTATTTACTTATTTTTAATTTATGTAATTTCTTTATTGATTAAGGTATCCCATATTTGTCCTCATCTCCTCCATGCCCATCCCAAACCCCTCCCCACACATGCCCCCATCCCACTGTTGTCCTTGACCACTGGTTAGGCTCATCTGCACCCAAACAAGTCCTTTGGTTGATCTCTCTCCTTTATCCCCACCCTCCCCTAACTTTCCTCTGAGGTCCCACAGTCTGATCAATGCTTTTCTGTCTCTGGGTCTATTCTTGTTCATCAGTCTATGTTGTTCATCATTTCCCCTAGATGAGTGAGATCATGTGATACTAGAAATACACTTATAAGAACCGAAAATGAAATAAGCAATAATGGTTATGCTGAGAGGCAAATGAATCAGTCTATAGTGTGTTTCTTTCTGAGCCAACAGTTTTTTTGAGTCCCCCAATTCCTATGTCAACCAGTTCTTTATGTGCACATGTCAGCAATGATATTTCAGTTCTGGATGGTGAACAAATAGTGGTAATGCAGGTCCTCCACTCTCTGGTTTGGTCCTGGGCAACCTTCAGCGACTCACAGCTGCTGACTGCTTGTATGGCAAGGCTTTGTGAGCATCTTCCATCTCTGGACTGTTTCTCTTCTGTCATCATGGCTGGAGCACTCCTACCAATTCCTCTCTATTGGAGGAATCCACATGGTCTCAGAGTTGTTTTCTGAAAATATACAACACATTCTCCACCAAAAGTTAATAAAAATATTTTCTATAAATTTGACTTGGGGTCCTTTTTCATTTGTTGCCCAAACAATTTTCCTTTGTCTTGTTTGACACCATGTATGTTTTACATGGGTGTCTTGCTGTTGGTATTACAAATGAAAGTTAATTTTCTAAAGTAAGAATTTCCTATATGTAATTTACTTACAGGATATTTTTCCTCACATGATATTCTTCTACTATCCCCCTTTTTATTTAAATAGTAGGAGGCTTTTGAAAATTTTGTAATATAATCTTGATAGCTTTTAAATTTTATTATTTTTTTGCACTAAAATATGATTGCTTTCTGTTAATTACATGTTACCCTATTTTACCATGAGATTAATTACCAAAAAAAGTTTAGTTAACACTTTAGGAACAGCTTTTTGTCCAGTACAATTGATTTTTCTAGAATATTAGCTTATTTCAATTAACCAATTTAAATCAGTCTGAAAACTAGACTACCATTCTACTGTCAAACTCAACACTCTAACAACAATCTGATTTTACCGTGTAAATATTAGGGGAAAGGATTATTTGCCTTTTTGAGTAGGCCCCAAACATTCCTGGTACTAGGCTGGGTTTAGATATCAAAAACCCCAGTTCTCCACATCATGGGTACAAGACAACTCAAACAAGTCTTGTTGCAGTGAGAGGGCAGCTGCTATAGGCCAAGTCTCTGTCTGTTATGTGGGTCCTGATTTGAGCTGGGAATTGGAAGGTAAGCAGCCATGGAGGCAGGAGACATCCCTCAGAAGGGGTGAGGGTTCAGGCCCCTGCAAAGTTAGGGGCTTGAGGTCTGTGCCCCACCTCTGTTGACCCCCAAGTTCGCTCCTGATGGCCCCTCTGCAACTGTACCTGTCTTAGGTTGTTCCTTTCCTGAGGAATCTTATCCATCTTTGTCTAACTAGCCATTCTCTGGGTCTAAGCATGATAATGTAAGGTTCAGTTTTATCTCCTTGGTAGCCTACGCCCCAGTGGTTTCCACTCCCAGCACCTGCCTTGGGATTCCCTTGCCTGCGGGCAGGGCCTGGGCACTGATCACATATTTTGTGAAACCCAGGTTTCTTCTCCAGGGAGGGCCCAGCTCACCCCACTGGGCAAGAGACAGATCCATGCTACCAGCCATCAGGAGGCTTCAACCTCAGCATGAACAGAAAGCTCAGGCAACAGCTGTGGGCAATTTGATTGTGAGAAGAAGGTCCCTCTTGGCCAAAAAGACAAGAGCGGCCAATAAAGAATGCTCAGGTACCTTCCCAGGGGTCCTTGTACACAGTGGAAGGGATTAAATTCTTTGATGTCCTTTTTTAAAATATATTTTATTGATTTTTTACAGAGAGGAAGGTAGAGGGATAGAGAGTTAGAAACATCCCTGAGAGAGAGAGAGAGAGAGAGAGAGAGAGAGAGAGAGAGAGAGAGAGATCAGCCGCTTCCTGCACACCCCCTAACAGGGATGTGCTGCAACCAATGTTCATGTCCTTGACCAGAATCGAACCAGGGACCCTTGAGTCTGCAGGCTGACGCTCTATCCAGTGAGCCAAACCGGTTTCCGCCTTTCATATCCTTTTTAAATTGCTGCGAGACATTCAAAGATTTAGTTTGTAAGTTTGTTTGGGATAATTGTACATTATGCTGTTGTAATTTTAAAATATCTTGAGATTTGTCACCTTGTTCTCCAAGCACCAAAAAGATAATTTTTTTTTTCGATACCCAAAGGTACAAGGTACTATTATAGGTATTGGGGGGCGGGGTAACAAAAATCTGGGAAAAATTATAATGTCATTGTAGAATAATATCATGTAAGGATATTCTTTGCTCTAGGCCATGGCAGTTCTATTTCAAACTGGCTGCCAATTTCTTTTTTTTGTATAGACAAGGTCTTAGTTTCATGTTCTACACCTCTCCCAGGAGCAAGTATTGACAGTCCCTTCCTTTGGAAGTCTAACACTGATTATAGATGATGTCTTAACATCTATAAAAATCTTCACGTATCTCTTTTTTTATATTTCTACACCTTTCTTTCTGGTCAATTGACTAATGCATTCTTATGTTCCAATCAATCTAGACTTCTTATTCTTCCCTCAATAGCCTTACACTTTTACACCCATTTACTAGTTCACACACACACACACACACACACACACACACACACACACACACACACGAGGCCTGGTGCATGAAATTCGTTCGAGGGGGAAAAGGGGTCCCTCAGCTTGGCCTGCACCCTCTCATGATCCGGAACCCCTTGAGGGATGTCTGACTGCCAGATTATGCCTGAACCGCTGGGTCCAAACCACTCACCTGCCTGCCTGCCCTTTTTTGGCAAGGGGTCAAATGGTAGGACTTAATAGAACAAGATACCCATGAAGCAAAGCTGACTGTTTTACTTTCCATTTATCATCATTGCTGCTCTTCATAATTCCATCAGTGTTCTTGGAACATCAGGTCAAATCTGAAACATGATCAGAAGAGCTTTGCTGTTTGGAGGCCTCAATAATTGACATCCCAATTAAAGCTACATTTAAAAAATCAGGTATAGTCTTAATTTTTTCAAGACTATCAAGTGATCTTTTAAAATACTCAATAAAAGAAGTTGGAAGCTGGGTTATTTCTAAAGTATTGGTACTGAGCTACTTTTATGTTTTGTGTATTTACAAATAATGGGAATCTGCTTGCTTTGCATAAGTATTGAAGGTACACAGAGGGAATTTAGTAATCTGCCTTGCCTCTTTGATGTAATATATATATAATGAGAGGTAACAGTGAGGCTCTCTTAGGCCATTTTATTTTTTTCTCAGCTTTATTGCGATATCATTTATATATAACATTGTATAACTTTAAGGTGTCCTTTGTGTTAAGAAATAAAAATTGATAACTGTAACTGTGTGAGAAATAAGAACTGCAGCACCTCTGCCTTTCACCCTGAAGCCTCCTTCCCATAGAACATGGGGCTTCATGAAGAAGTATGTAATCAAATTATGCTGAGCATTAAGGCAAAATGAGCACTATATTTAGTCACACAACTGAGCTGTCTCTTAATTGAGGAAGTCATACTTTAGGTTTTTGTCACTCAAAGGCAACACTGGAGTCATTTAACCAGCATAGCATGTGTTCTCCTTGATACTTTAATGAGATTGTAGTAGAGAATATATATATATATATATATATATATATATATATATATATATATATATATATAGAGAGAGAGAGAGAGAGAGAGAGAGAGAGAGAGAGAGAGAGAGAGAGAGAGAATTATTAAAATATTGAGGGCATTTTTCTTTTTTTAATTTCTTGATTAAGGCATTACATATGTGTCCTTATCCCCCCATTGAGGATTTTTTTCATCTTTAAAGGTGTCAAAGTACATTCACTCTTACAAGAAAATAATTAAATGAACAAAAACTGCAACGATCTCTTAAAAGTCATAATTATTCACAGAACATGCACCTTAGGCATCATTTACTTTTACTTTGCCTAAAATATTTATGTCTTGGCAAACTTGTTGGTTTTGTTACTAATGGGAAGATGTCTTTATCCTTACCTGTTGATCCTGGAGGTGGATTTATTGCAATATTATGAGAAAAATAATTTTTTTAGACTAGCACAGGAGGATGAGATATCATCAAAAGCCTTATTTCTGTGGAATTATAGCCCAGAGTTTCCAGAGTCTCATTTCTGTTCATCCAGCCAAGGAAGAAATGTAGCTGTGTCTTCAATTGGGCTAGAATCAGTCAGTGTGCAGAGTTTCCATTCTTCCTTAGGGCACAGTCCAATCCTACATCCAGATAGCTAAGCTTGTTTTTCCCCCTGCAGTCCATTAGTCCTTTGCATGTGAGGACTGCAGTGACACATGGCTATGGAGGAAACACAGGAGAACGCAAGAAGCAGGAACAAGAGAGCCCCAGGAGCCAAAAGTGACAAAAGAAAAAGGAAGTGAACTCATTTGTTTGGGGAATTATGTGTCCCCAAATCTTTACAGGTTTGCATTGGCTCCACCCATTCTGGCCAGTGATCTCTGTTCCCAGGTTTGGCTGATGGACACCTTCTCTAGTTACCCCAACTTCACTGTGCAAACATTCATCTCCCCCTTTGACCAGTCCTTTCCTCCAGCAAACTGAAGGGAATGGGCTGTTGTCTTCCATAAACACAATTATCCTTCTTCCTCTTCTCCCTTGCATCACCTCTGAATATTTGGCATTGCTGTTAATATGTAGCATAGGAACCTATTAAGCTTCTGTTGATATATTTTATTATCATAACAACTTTTAAAAGCTCTGTTGTTAGTCTGAAAGAGAGTTCCACAACATGTTAAATGCAATTTTTTTCTTTTAATATTCTAATGATAGTATCTTTGATAGCTCTTCTGAGGCAGTTACTGGGAGTGGAAATCAGGAAAGAGCTCTGATTTGTAGTGGCATCGGAGCTGAAATTCAAAGCCACGAATGGTCAAGATCAATGACACATTTGTTAAAAAACAACAACAACAATACACACAACAACTACAACACACACACACACACACACACACACACACACACACACACATAAGAACAGAATTTTTCTGTTCTCACACACATAAGAATAGACCCTCAATCAGCAGTAATGGTTTTTATTTCCCAAACTCACACAGAAAGGTAAACATCAAACTAACTCAAAATGTCCCTATCCTGTTTAACAAGATAATGATTTGCTAGTTGCTTTTCAAAACAACAGACAAAAACAGCAAGTCACAGAGTCAAAACATTTGCAAAGGAGAGAACTTTAACCTTTGCCTGCAGTGATAACCAGAATTTTGCCCTTCCCATACACACAGAACCAAAGAACCAGGACATAACCAGGAGAACTTGAACACTAGATCACTTTCTAAAGTGAAGGGTCCATTGTCCAGGAAAAT